TTCAGAGACCCAGGTGAGGTCATCAACACATCGCTCGTCGGGCTTGTTGGTCGACGGTTCTATCACACCAGTCCCCTCGTGTCTCGTGCCTCCTCTGCTGATTGGCGCCTCCACGCGTAGTGAACAAAGACGGGGAAGAACGGGTACAGGGATACAACTGACATTGCCTCGCTTTGAGACGTGTACATTTGCGTGTTTTTGGATTCGTGCGTGTGTGGCAGTGTGCCATCGACCCCTTTCTCCGTTGACTAGGTGCCTGCGTTGGACGTGACATCAGGTCGACTTGATTTGTGTGCTTGTCGTCATTCAATTTTGATTGTCTCTCATCGACAGGTCAACCAGCATCGAGTAAGCGCTATTCCATAGCGTCTTCTAGCCCCCAAGCAACCCCCGGGCCGACATCAACAGGCAGGCACACAACGTCGCACAGACGCCACCCCAGCAGCAGCTTGAAGGCGGCGTGCATGCGTGCATCCTGCACCATGACTGCATACGTAGATACCGCCCATCCCCAGGTGGCCAGCCAGTGCAGATCGCCCAGTCACACAAGTGCAGATCGCCCAGTCACACACAAACACGCCCTTATAACAACCACGCACGGAGTGCTGGGGGTGTATGAGAGCGCGCCGCCGCCCCACTCTCCATGGCGGAGAGGGGCGGCAGGCTGCCGACCCGTAGACCCCCCTAGTGCACGCCCATACACACATCACCGCTGGGATAAGTAGAAGGGCGGCAAGACACACAAACAGACCACGCCCACATCCACACGCACACCCCTACACACACGCACACCACCCAGACACACACACACACACACGCAGGAAGACCAATACCTCACCCGCATACCCACGCTCATGGCCACACTCATACGCAGACACACACACGCACACACATAGGCACATGGAAGGCACAGTGTAGGGAGGAAAAGACCTAGTGGGGTGAATACGGGCCCCTCCCCCAGACCTCGTCTCTGGGGAAGGGGCGGATGAATGGTGTGGCGGCCTCACTCTTGCCGCGCACCGTAAGAGCACACTCACGCCTGACTGCACACGACAAGAGAACCCACCATCGGGCCACGACACGGCCCGTCGAGAAATCCCTGTCATCCCTGTAGTGAGCTTCCTTCACTGCCTTGCCTAGCTTGTACAAAAAGGTCTCCATAGTCGAAGACCAGCGTCCATACGACTCGAAGGCCAAAGGCAGAAACGTGTACCCTCCCCGTGCACATGCGACGGCATACAGGTCCCTCTTGCGCTTCTCGGCCACGCGAAGGGCCGAGCCGGGCCGTTGGGTGGTGAGGCTCCTCCATCTGCAATTGCGACCTTGAAAGCTGAAGGTTTCCCCTTCTCCCCCTGAGCTCACTTTGTCTGACCTTAAGCGTCCGTCAACGACGCAAACAAACCGGTTCGTATGGATACCATCGCTGTGTCTCCCTCACTGATCATACAACGCACCACGGCAGCTAAGTCGCCTAGCCACAGCCATACGACAAAAACTCACATCAGGCAAGAAATCAGCTAATCAATGCATATGATAGATAAACATCTAGACAGCCACTTGAGTGTTTGACACGCACCCAAGCACAGCCGCTGATCCCTACGAGCCCAGTCACACCACACAAGAGCGGGTGGACCAGGACCCGACGCCCCGACACTCACCACCACACCCGGCTGTGTGATGGGAAGGAGCCTCGAGTACATACATCTCACAGCCGGGAGACCTCATGCACTTCACGGCGACCAGTCCCGGAGCGTCCTTCTGTGTCGCGGTTGATGGAATCCTTCACCCATGACTCCACCGGGTAGCTAGCGACTGTCGGTCACACACACACATACACAGACAGAGAGAGGGAGAGAGAGAGAGTCACTCAGTCTTGTGCACATCTGTCTGTGTGAATGTTCCTTCCAGTTGGCTGTGAGGCGTACGTACCCGGCGGGAGTGGCATCAGCGCTTTGATGACGATCGGGTTATCTTCGGTCATCCCCCTGTCAAAGAAACACACCGGCACACATACAGTACACACACACGTGTGCCGGTGTGTCTGTCTGTCTGTGTGTGCGCGTGTCGTACACAGCGCCGAGTGGCGTGTCGTCGGGCTTGCCCTCGAAGCCGATGAGCACCACATCAGAGCGCTTGTTGGGGCCAGCCATGCCGGCGATGTAGAGGAAGCTCTTGACATGACCGACGGTCCGGAGCTTGTCAATCTCTACCAAGTTTGTCATGTCAAACTCCGACACGACAGGAGAGTCGTGCAGTTTGAAGAACCGACTCATTTTCTGCAGACCACGCTCATTCCATCCATCAATCCGTTCCGCTCCAACGGAGGTGCATGCAGCCAAACAACGCTCACATTGGCCCAAGACTGTTGACGGGAGCAGTTCTGCACTTACTCCTCCTACTTCTTGCATCATGATTCATCCAATCTTCAGCCTGAGTACTTACCCCCCATGATTGAGTTGGTGATTTCTCGGCTGTTTCTCCTCCTTTTCGGATGAGCGAGCGTGTATCGGACTACACCCAACCCCCTCCACCTACCCTCATCCCGCGAGACGGCGGCGGGCCCCCCTGTTGCGCATGCAACGAGAAAGGGACGTCTGCGCTGTCCACATGCAGCCGACGATGTGACTGCCGGAATCACAAGCGCCTCTGCACTAACTGTGTCAACTGCAAGCGCGGCACATGCACGAATTTTGCGTATCCGGCGGACCCGGCCGTTTGCGATGATGATGATGATGAATCGGATGCCGTCTCCCCCTCTGCTGGCCCTGCCGTGCCCTCCACGGCTTCCTTTGTCGATGAGAAGATGCGTGAGGCCTTCGGCGAGCCCCTCGTCAACTCCGCCGGTGGACCGACTTTCCCTGAGTGGGAGGCATATCACGAGCGGGTCTGCCAGCTTCGACTGCGGTGCGTGAAGGATCTCAGCAAGCTTGGCAACCTTGGCCGCGCCATCGCCGATGCCATCGCTGATGAGGTGGAGAAGATCTCCAAGCTCGAGGCACCGTCCGAGCGGGCTGGCGTCTTCGTCCGCACACTCATCCAGCGAGATCCGGATGTCAAGAGGAAGCGCGATGTCAAGCGGATGCTCTGGAGGCGGCTGGAGATGTGGCAGAAGGGGCAGGTGGAGGAGCTCGTGTGCGAGGCGGAGCGACTGGACCAGCAGTTCCCCACCACTCAGCCTCAGCTGGACGACGCGTCGGTCTATCGCATCTTCAACAAGCTCATGCTCGAGGGCAAGGTCCGGGCGGCCGTCCGCTTCGTCACCGAGAGGGGCGGCGGGGGGGTCCTCCACCCATCTGCTCAGGCCGAGGAGCGCCCCCCGGGGGTCACGGTGCTCGATGTCCTTCGCGAGAAGCACCCACCGCAGCAGCAGCCGCACGAGGAAGCCTTCCTTCCCTGTGACGACCTCCCTCCCCTCATTGACGTGGACATCACGGACTCGACCGTGGAGCGAGCGGCACGGAGCCTCAGTGGGAGCGCTGGACCGACCGGTGGCGATGCGAACTTCTGGCAGACCTTCCTCCTCCGATACGGTGCCAAGAGCGGCCGCCTCCGCGCGGCTGTGGCCTCGCTCGTCTCTACCCTGGCCAACACCATCGTCCCATGGGACAACA